AAACCACTAATTTCTTCTGTGTTTTGTTTTCCTTTTCTCTTCCTGCTGTCACGCAGCACTCTGGGAATATGACATCGTGCGTTCTGAAAATCACTGGTTCAAAGAGAAGACTTGGTAAGTGTGAAAAAAATTAACTCTTTGAACCACACTCATTTAAGATACAAAGAACCACCGAAGGTGGGCCGTGCATAATGTAGCTTTAAATAATGGTAATTTTTATGATTCCATAAAATAGTAAGGTTTCTGGTTTCAGACACTAGCCACCAAGGGCATGGTCAATGTACATGTAAGTAATTGAACCTACCTAGGATGTTGAAAAGGATTATTTCAGGCCATTATTTCTCATATCCTGCACAAATATTTAGTAGTAAAATACCCTACTTTACTCTACCCAAAGGCCACCGATACCATAAAACACTGATCAGCACATTTTCCCTGCAGCTGGCAGAGCCAGCTCACGAATGACCTGGACCCTCAGGAAGAAATGGAATCAGCTGTTACAATTAGCCCTGAGGAAAGATTGATGATGGAGGTCACCTGCGCTGCATAACAGATGGGCCTGGGAGCTGCCGGGCTGTGGGCTGGGAGCCTCTATCCCCGACTTCCCTGGATCTCAAAGACTGTCCTGATTTTCAGTGCTTTCTGCTGGTCACAGGTACGTTGGTGATTAAAATCAATGCACTGTGTTAAAAGAAGACACTGAATGCCTTAAGTGACTTTGGCATTTCAGGATCATTCACAAAGAGCTTCGCATCCTTCTTCTTAATCTTCATGGCCGTTCTGTGCCATCCTCTTCCCTCCTTTTCCAGGTGATGATTGGAGAGGGTTATGTCTTTCCCAACATATTCGATCCACAGCACCAACCTATGCAGAATTTGGAGTCTGCTTTTGTGATTATGCATGTAGGACTTTATTTTTTCACTTGTACTTTCCAAGTACTGTCCTTCTATTTTATTTTCTTTATTATTTTTTTGAGATGGAGTCTTGCTCTGTAGCCCAGGCTGGAGTGCAATGGCATAATCTTGGCTCAGTGCAAACTCTGCTTCCTGGGTTCAAGTGATTCTTATGCCTCAGCCTCCCCAGTAGTGGAGTTTACAGGTATGCACCATCATGCCTGGCTAATTTTTGTATTTTTAGTAATGATGGGGTTTTGCCATGTTGGCCAGGCTGGATTCGAACTCCTAACCTCAGGTGATCCACCCGCCTGCTCCACATCAACTTCATTCAAGAAATTGCCAAGTGTGCATTTGGTGTTCTCAAACCGTAGGTATGCCTCAGAGAAAAATGAACAAAGGGAAATGCTAACTCTGGTAAAAGTGTAGTATAAAGAGCATTTCATATTCAAGATGCTTCTCTGCATCCTGGGACCTCTCTGCTGCCCACTCCCCTTCACCAGCCTCCTTCATGCCCTTTGAAGAGAATGTGAATACAAATGCATTTGGCATAGCAGGTGTATTGCACAATATTGCTTGGCGATACTTTCAGGTCTCATGCCCAAGTTCTTTTATGTGAGTTATTTAAAAACAATGCCTGAAGATGAAAGAGTAAAATGTCCCCTTATGCTATTTCTTGTAAAAAGTCATAAATGTGTGTCACATGTGTGATAAAGTGAGTCATCAAACATAAATATCTCCAGGGAATCCTTTGTTCTGCTATTTTCGACCTGGTAAAATTGTCTGATAGAGGGAAGGGTATATTAACTAAAACTGTGATTCTAAAGAAATCATGTTTGTTTGTCAGTGTTCTTATTTGCTTTGGGAAACCAGTAAGAAAACAAGTTAGCCAATCCTTTAAATTAACTGTCTGGAAACACACACAGTGCAATGCATGAAGAACTGAAGTATTGTAAATATTGACCATCAGGACTTTGAAGCAAAGAATAATTGTCCATATTTTTAGATGGGACAGGGAGTTGGGAGGAAAACATTCAGGAATGGGCATAAGAAGACCTGATTATGGGTTAGGAGATGCAACCTGTGTGGTCAGCCTCAGGAAGTATGCCTTAGGTCTCTCTTTTGCAGAAGCAAAAGATCAGGGCAGTTATGTGAATCTATGAAATTTCTCATGGCTGTTATTTTGGGGATGTATCGGAACCTTATATTCAGGTAGTGGCTCTGCTGCTCTCTGACAGCATGACATGGATCTAGATGTAAACACTGCACCTTTGTAACCTCAGCGGGAAAATGAGGATGATAAGGTTTGTCTGCATCATATGTTCATTCTGAGGGAAGGAAAATTCTGATATTTTTCTATACATGTATAGATTATGCACACAGATGGACTCACTGAAACTCTGAGTCACTATGTGTTTTCCCTTATCTCAAGAAGGCTTGTAGAAGTTCACAAAACCTACCAATTTCAGACTGCAGGATAAAATACCAGCAGGGCAAAGTGGTAACAACCCCAGGCTGTGCAGTTAGGATGTGCTGAGTGTGAATCCTGACTGGTAACCCCTGTGACTTCTAGCAAGTTACCTCAGTTGTCTGAGCCTCCTCCGCTTCCTCGTCTCTAAAATGAGTATTGTTTCAGTCATGCTGTCATCGAGGTCTTATGCATTAAATGAGAGTCACTATAAAATTTAAGCACAGAACCATACCTTGAGCACAGCCAGCACTGCCCCGGGGGCAAATATCAGCGTGTGCCATGCAAACATGCTTGTGTCTCAGGTCAGTGCAAGCACAGTGGCAAAGCCACAGAGAGCCGTGGTTTTGCCTCTTGTGGTTCTTGTGATCTATGGAGAGACAGACATTGAAGCAAAATATCACACAGAAGACCTGTAACACTGCAGGGCTGCTGAGAGCAACGCTGAGTCAGGGGAGCTTTGAGAAAGTCCAACAGGAGGACCCTTTCTGGCCGTGATTGAGAAAACTCCTCTTTCTGGCACACACGTGCCACTCAGGTATGGGACTCACTGTGGGGGCAGCACTGTTCCTCCCATCAAGCCAAGGGCTCCTTTCTATGCCTCGCCCATCTCCCCTGCTGACAGGTTCATGCCAGGCTGCTGCTGGCTTTGTGGCTGCCCGGTTCCTCCTTGCAACCTCTCTGCCAGTGCTTTGTTCTGTGGGAAGAGCAGAGACTGAACGTGAAGTAGCTGGAGACACCACAGCGACATCTCCTGATGGGCACATGGCGAGATTGGCTTCTGCTCCTGAAGCCTCTTCCAACGGCTGCTCATCCCCACACGCTGCCAAGCTGCACGGAGGCACTGTGGGAACAGGCAGGAGGTGAGGAGGCTCGTCGGGGAATGGCAGCTTCCCAGCACTGCTCACTCACAGCCCTGCCTGCAACAAGAGTGAGACGAGCTGGAAAGCACGCTGGAGTTCAAATGCTTGTCACTGCCAGCCTCTTCTTGAAAGCCCCTCTGCGATGAGTAACAAACGCTTTCTCGCCCGGCCAACACCCCAGCATCATCTATTATGCATCATCTTATGCAAAATAAATACAGAAAACAGCATGTATCTCTGTGGAAACAGCATTTTCATAAATTATACAAAAATGAGCGAATTGGAGGAACTTCAAGAAATGTAAAGGCTTGCCAAAATTTTGCTCTTAACTAACTTTCAAATTAGGGTCCAAAGTCAGTATTCAAAGACAGGTTTCAGTCTTGTTTCCTCACTCCGCCAGCATCAGAAGAAAATATAACTGAGAGGGATTACTTTCTAGCCACCATACCTGCTCTTTGAGTGAAACAAGGGTCAGGGTACATGAGTCTGGAGACAACAGCATTGCTCCATGTGAGGAGGGAGCTACTGGGGCCGTCAATAAGTGCTGACTGCCTTGCAGGGGCTGTGTGTCTGTGAAGCTCTCCTGAAGCACCTTCCTTCAGTGACTCCACCTCCTGATGGGTTTTCTGCAGACGCAGAAGTAGGGCAACTTTGGATGAGTGCAGGCGTATTGTGTGAAGCTCAGAAGTTTCACAGGCAGAATCCTAGAGCTGTATTTTTGGATATAGTTTAAGCATTCCAATATCTCAGATATTGCAGAGAGGAAATGGGAGGGCCACGTGCCTTCTCAACCCTGGCTGCAAATTATCAGCAGGGCCAAGCTGTACTGTTCTGGGAACAGGATTGTGGAACCCAGCACTGAAGAAGGAGGTTGGTTTGATGGTGGTCCTCAGTCTGACTTGGGCCAGACAGTTCAACATTCTAAGAGGAAAGTACAGAAGCCCTGTCTTTCTGAGGCCTATCTGTAACACATGCTCATTCTTTCCAAATTATTTGCTGGAAAACAACAATCATAGAGTTATTAATAGCCAGTTCCTTTCTATACTGGTTGATACTGATTCACAAGTATGAATGAACTTATGAGGTGGGTGACATTGTGATCCCCAGTTTACAGATGAGGAAACTGAGGATGGTTTAACTTGCCCAAGGTCATAGCAGTGGAGTTAAGATTTGAAATCAAATGTCTTACGCTCCCTTATCGATGAAAACTGCTATCTATCAGCTCACCATATAACAACACAGGAACATCCCAAATATTTCCAATGTTCCCCTGAGGGATTATTTTTCTCATAATAAAAATTATCTGGAAATTTCTAGGCCCCTAAACAGTTTGAAAAGGGTGCACGTGAAGCAGTGAATAACAGCGACATGTGTGTGCCACTTTTATATCAACATGTTCATGTGTGCTAATGAATTTTACAGTGGATTTTTTAAAACATCATGACTATTATAAGCTGATGTAATTTAAATGCAAGATACAATGAGGATTACCAGATATTATTCCTCTTTATATTTTACATAAGACTTCTAGGGTTCCATGGGTATAATCTTGAAACATAGGACATTCCTGAAAAAAAATTGCTTGTAACCATTTCAATGTGCAACACACCTCTTTGTAAACGTTACTTTCTTTCATCCAAGTATGACATTTGGCAACAAGACTCCGATGACAGCCCTCTCTTCCTTTTGTGTCATTGTTCCCTAAATAAAGCAACACATGAAATTCCTGACGGCAGAAATCAGACTCGGATCCTGAAGCCTCTGTCTGTATGCAAGGTTTCTGTTTTGCAAAGGAAACGGCCAAGGGATATGAAGAGAGAGAGGGAGAGAGGAAAGGAAAAAGGCAAAGCAGCAAGCACAGCCCGGCACGCAGGCTCTGAGGAATAAACACCCTCCCGGCGGGCGCCGTCTCCGGGCTCCGCGAGCCTCAGTCCCTGTCTCTGCATTTCGGAGAGAGGCACGAGGAGCCTGGTCATGAATTAACTGGGTAAAAACTGCCGGTCCCGGTGTCTCTGAGCTGAGCTGTCCCGTGGCTGCAGAGCGCGGTGCACGCGGGCAGGGTCCCTCCCGGAGGCCGCCCCATCTCCCGCGGACGCGCCGCGCTGCGCCCTGGTTCCCGGGGAGAGTCGCCTCCAGCCCGAGCCGAGTTCGCCGCCGCCGGGCGGTGCGGCTGGGGCGCTGCTGACGTCAGGTTCTGCACACAGTTGTGATTGGACCTAATTAGACGCTGCGGCAGCAAATAGACGAGCTCCCTGCGTGACTGGCTTCAAAGTGGCTGGTGCCAAACAACTCGCAGAGGCGCAAAAGTAGCCGCCCCGCGCCCGCCCGCCCGGAGCCCAGACCAGGCGGCGGCCGCGGGAGCCGGGAGCCGGGAGCGCTCAGGAAGCCCGCGCCCTTCCCGCTTCGGGGTCCAGGGAGCCGCCCGCTCCGCGCGCCCAGCCCGGCCCGGCGGGAGCGGGTCGCCGAGAACCGTCCGGGAGAGAGAGGCAGAGACGCGGCGCGCGCTCCTGCTCCGTCCTGAAAAGTGTCGGCTCCGATTTTCCAGCCTCAGAAGCTTCGCGGCGGCGGCGGCGGCGGGAAGGAAGCAGCGGAGGGACAGGTGCTGGAGGCGCCCCGGGCTCCGCGACCGGGTGTCGGCCATGGCCTCGGTCCTGGCAGGCGGCAGAGGCTCCGGAGGGTTGAGCAGTCAACTCAAATGCAAGTCCAAGAGAAGGAGGAGGCGGCGCTCCAAGCGGAAAGGTAAGGACCGCGCGGCGCTGGCCCTGCGTCCTCCCCGGCCTCTCCTGAGCGCTCCGGGCTTGTCTGTTAAGAGCACTTCACTTTGGGGCGCTGGCGGGACAGCCCCTCCGTGCAGGGCGCCGGGAGTTCGAATCCCCGTGTCCATGGTCTGGGGGCTCTTCGCGCGCAGATGGGACAGCGAGCAGCCTCTCAGTGACACGTTTGGGGGGCCGGGACAAAGCGCGGCGAGGGCGGAGAGGAGCCCCCAGTGGACCCCGCGGTCCCCCCTCCGCACACGGGGCTGGCACCGGCTCCCACCCTCCCGGGGCCAAAGGAAATACCCACTTAAGCCAACGTCCCCAAAAGCGGGGGACGAACCCTCGAGCTGGCTACCCCATCCCAGCTGTCCCGAGGCAGGGGCGGGCAGAGACCCGTGGCCGCCTCCCCAGATGGGTTGACAGCTTTGACTCCGTGGGACCCGTCGTTTTGTAAACACTGGGACCTACAGAGAACTTAGGGCTCGTCCTTGGAGAAATAAGCAGAAACGAATCCTTGGAAACAGATAGAAGCATCTCATTTTGTTAGTGGTGGGGGAAAAAAACGCAAAGCAGGAAAGGAGGGAAAGCAGCTGGTAACAGTTGCCGCTGAGAAACTGCCAGGCTGCGCCTTGTTACTGAGATTGCTGGGGCTGGGCCGCGCCGAAGTTAGCCAGGGCCGCAGCCGGCCAGAGCCGCCCTCACGCCAGGGCTCGTGCAGAATCAGCGACGGCTCCACCGTGAGCGATGCCCGGTGCCGGCCTAGGCTGCCAGCGTGCCACGGAAAGATGAAAAGATGTTTCTCATGCCACCTCCTCTCTCCCAGAGAGGAGCCTGTATTACTGTCAGCTCCTGGGGAGCCTGCAGGAGAAAGTTCAGCTCTTGGCATGATTTGAAATGTGCCAATGTTTTAAGGGAATGTAGAACTGTAACGACCGTTGGAAAAACACAGCTAGCACTGATCAGCTTTGCCAGCTGTTTGAAAGCAGGAGGCAATGTTAGATGCGTGTGGAGTTGTCTGTGTGTTTCCTGGAGAATTTTCATCTTGGCATTGGCCTGAGATAAGTTTCCACCAGACCATTATTTCCTGTGTGCCCTCTAACTGTCACCAGGTCCTTTACTGCTTCCTCCAATAATAGAAATTATCCAGACAGTCTGACGCATAAATGGCAATAGCAAACAGTCGTTGATTATGACCGAACGTCGGGACCACCGGGAGGGTATGGGGCCCCACAACTTCCCCTAAAGGGTTCAGAGCCTGGTTTCAGGAGGGGGTTGAGGTTGTGATGCTCCTTTAACTCTCAAGCTGCTATGGTGTGTGCTTGCGATGCGCTTTGTCATTTGAAACAGACCTGTTAGTGTCCTCTGAAGATGCCAACACAAAGTGGCCTTGCTGTTGAGAAAGTCACGGGATTGAATAATGAATGTGACTTTTAAAAGAGGGAAAAAGGAAGCGTCTCTATACTTCAAGTGTTTACGTCTCCCAATATTTTTTGCTTAGTCTGTAGATAGTTAGAGTTGAAGAATGTGGAGTAATTGTTCACAATAAAGCAGTTTATAGAAATAGAAACTGGTGGGAAGTTCAGCCTTTCTCCAAATTCACTTGCCTTGCCATGAATGTCAGTCGTGCTAGCTTAGAAATATTCAATTTAAGAGAAAAAGGCAAATCTGGAGAAAGACTTTGTTTGCTATAAACTTAACTTTAGCAATTCAAAATAAAATTCCTATACCAAATAGTACCATACCTTGGCTATTTTGAATATGTCAAGTCCCTTAATATTCGTAGACAAAAATTGAAGCGGGAAAGGGCATTGAGGATTTGTACACTGATTTCTATTACGAAGAGATTTGTGGCATCGGGGAGAATTTCCTATGGCACCTGCCGGCAGCTATCTTGATAGGAAAGTCAAATCAAATCGCTAAATATTCCATTTTTGGGGAAACGTAACCATGTAGATGCACCTGATCAAATTAAAAGGTGACGCAGCCAGCTAAGAGACACGCTGAATAGTTATTTGCATTTTACTGGGACTAGATCACTTCATCTATGATAACTAGTTATTACAGATGTCGTTTTTTCTGTTTTATCAAAAACCATGTCTAGTTTAAATTATGTCCTAATTGTCATGAATCTTAACCATAAATGAACAGAATAACCTCAACTTTTAAGCTTATCTTATATTAAAACTCTGTACTTGCCACAATTTAAAATCCATGTGTATATGAGAGACCGTTAAGGAATTCTAGTGTGGCTCTATTGGGTACTGAAGACACGGATAGAAGCACATAGTAAAGGCTCTTTTTATAGGGGAATAAAGACAATTAAGATACATGCTGACCTTGTTGCCTGTGAGATGTGTATTTCCACCTAGCCTAAGGGACAAGAATCATTTTTGAAGATGCATGATAACTTTTAGTTTCCCAGTGTGGTGAAATGTGGTCCCTTGTCTATATGTGCGCTCTGAGAGTGACTTTGGCATAATATGCTTCTTATCAAAATGGTCTGTGAGCTCTGAAATAAAGCATGCCGTAGCTACAGCTGAAGTGTGGTCATGACACAATACTTGCATTAAGTATAATCCATCTTCCTGGAAATGATATTCTTGCCTGTGGAAGATCTATTTTAGTTACCACGCCACAACGGAGGCTGTATGTATCTTTAAAAATAAAAAAAATCTACCTTCGTCACAGAATATGACTTTCAGATATTATGTGGCAGGAACCTGCATTTCTCTCCCAGATAAACTCTAAAGAAGATTCTTGGAATATGTCTCCCCACACATCAGTCCTACTTCTGTTATTTTCCTGGGCCCTAGTGTTGTACAGTTTTGCATTTTCTGTTTTATTTTTCAGTAGGGACTTTCTTTTAGAAATTATTCATAAATGGTTTAAATGTTTCATGTAAATGAAAAATACCAAAATTTGACCCTTTTATGGGAGAAAAACAAGCTGCTAAAAAAGAAAAGCTGTGAGAAGGACAGGGAAAACCTCTCATTTTTACATCTATGGCAAAGCCATGTTCATATTCCGTGACACACATGAGACATGTCAGTGTGTCCTGTGCCTGCCTCATTCAGAGCTGTTCAGAAAATAATAGCGCTTGGAGTTTATGGAGACTCTTACCTGCCATCACCAAATACTCATTGGAGTTTATTTCTCACAGACAGTACCAAGAGATTGCACTTTATTTTATAGTTCTTGGTAGAATTACACGAGGTGATTATGTACAACCAAATCCATATTATGTGGTTATATAGAGTAACATCTGCCCGTATTAGAAAATAACTCAATGGGTAAGTATTATAAAAGAATACATTTTAACAAAAAAATAAAGAAAAAGATTTAAAATTTTTTTTGTTAGTATCAATTCAACTAGGTAGCAAAAGAGGCAGAAAGCATCCAAACAGTATAGTGTATAAAAACAAATCACTTTAAAATATGCCAATAAATCTCTGAACCCTGGGATAACTTCAGGGTAATATGTATGAGGAATTTCTTGAATTTTTTTGTTATTCAAACAGTGCAGATGTTCTGTTCTGTGTATCTTTTTCTTTCTTTCGTGAATGTATTTTTTTCTAAAAGAAGCTTTCCATTGGCATAAAAGGCATTTTGCAAATGAAACTTTTTAATCTTCTGCCCATTACTCTGTACAATGTGTAAAATGACCGAAGTTTCTTTGAGAAAGGCTCTCTCAAGGCAAACATATCTGGAAATAGATTGAGAACCAATCCAAAATCAGCTGGTTCCACAAGGTGCATTGGAGGCTGGCGTTTTAGAAGTGGTGTGTTGATCTTCATAGACTGAAAAGGGGAAGGGGCTCTGGGAGAGACTGGCGATACAGGACCTGCAGTCGCCCGAGGCCGGGCCGGTCACTCTCAGGCTTTGGCAGAGGGCACCTCTTTGAGGCATCTGACAGCAAAATAAGTTAACTTGAAATTCAGGTATTGTTCTAGTGTGGTTGGTTATACAGAGTTTTAGCAACTTGAAAATGCATTTTGAGCATGAGGGAGCTCTCAAAAGTAAAGCCGTGAGTCACGGGAAGGTGTGGAGAGTGGGCAGGTTGCTGAATGTTGTGAAATGCAAATGAAAAGTTGGCAAAAGGAACAAGATAAGTTGAGCAGATGGATGGCAGACGCCGGCTTGCTGTGAAATGAAAATCCATGAAAAATTAATGAAATAGAAAGATCGTGCTAAGGATGAGGGCAGAGCGGCCGTGGGCTCCTCAGCCCCTGCAGTGCCACGGCTGTCGGCACCGGTGTTACCCTGGCCGGCGAGGGACAGCCCCGCACCCTCCGCTTATCTCGCTGGCTGACAGCTGGAGAGAAAGGGCTGGATTTGGTGATAAAATCAAATTGATTCAGCCGTTAACCAGCATCTAATTGCGTGGTGCTTTTTTCCCTTTCTCTTTTTAAAAAATTTGTATTAGTGCTTCTGGTTTCTAGTGACCCGTGTAATAACGGGAATTTGAGATTGCTTCAAGGGCATTAGAGATGATGAGTGAGTTTGAATGCAGAATAAAAATATATGGGATTCATATATCCATATCTAAACAGGGGTGACTCGCTTCCTGCGGAAGCGCCCCCCCAGAAGAGCATTATGTAAGGAAATGCAGAAAAGGAAGTTGTCTTTATTTTTTGAGACATGAAAACATAACTTATGCCCTAAAGGCATTTAATGTTCAATTTCAAAACTGTACATATATATAGTATGATATATATACATACATATTATATATATATATACGTATATTACTGTGTATATTACTGTGTATATGTATATATGTATATACACGGTAAAGACAGCCGAAACATTTAAGCAATTTTTATACCTGCTTGCTACTTTTTCCAAAATAGTAGAAAATGAATGTCCGTAGTTTTCCAATATGAACAGTTTCAAACAACTTCTAAAACCAAAATCAACTGTAATACTCTTCTTATTTAAGAATATTATATCAAAATAGATATTGTAGTTATAAATTTGGTTCTT